GTCGAAGAAGGTGGCCGGCAAGTCGGCGCTGATGGACGGTTACGTGCGCACCGGTTCGATGAAGGGCGACAAGGGGTACAACGAGGACGACGTGTACGGCGACAAGGACGCGGACAGCTACGGGTTCGGCACACAGGTGTCGTACGGCAGCAAGGCGGGCGACGGCGGCAACGGCGCGTACCACGAGTCGACGGCGTACGACGACAACGGCCGGTCCAACCCCAAGTACTCGGCGTGGCACTTCGAGGAGAAGGACGGCAAGCCGACCAAGCGGTACGTGTACGACTCGCTGAACAACGGCAAGAAGAAGAAGTACGACCCGCTGGCCGTCGAGGCCGAGGCGTCCGAGTACGACAGCGTCGAGGCGTACGACGACGGCGACGACGGCACGCACGCCGGTTACGAGGTCGACGACGGCGAACCCGAGTACGGTAACCTGTACGACTCGGGCGACGTGTACAACGACGCCGACACTTACTACTGATCGCGCGTACCTAGCCGGCGCGTAGTCGACGACGACATCCTCCGTCCTCCACTGCCCGGCCGCATTCCTCGCGTCACGCCGTCCGACGACCACCGTCCTCTCGCGGTGTGGTCGCACGACGCGCCCCGTCCGCAGGTCTTTTTCCCCCGTCCCGACAAACACTCTAACGTCGTGTTCACCGCCAACCTCCAGTGTAATGGCATGCACACCGTAATTCTATCAATCCTCGACGACAAACCGGAAATAATAAATGCGGTATACACCTCACCGGCACCGCGCGATACAATATTATTGTAATTCGTCGGTAAAAATCCGTTACGTCACGTGCAAAAGTCAAAAAAATAATAATAAAATCGATGAGCACACTTTTCTCTTTCCCTCTTTTCTCGTCCTCCATCCACTCTCTTACACGAGCATGTCTCGAATTCACTCTCTCATCTGTACACGATGTATGTGCACGGAAACACACTGCAGCAGGTATAATAATAATATAATAATATAATATAAAATAATAATTATCATCGTCCCCTGGTCATAAAACGCCTATCTTAATAATGTATAATGTATTATAGCTTATCCGGTCAAATAGTATTGTTTTAGTTTTATATTGTTATGTCGTTATTATTATTATTATTATTATTATTATTATGGTAATAATAATTTTTGTTATTAATTGTTGTTATTGTTATTTTTCAACCATATTTACTTCACTGTTTTTGTTTTGTTTTGTTGTTTTTTTTTTTTTTTTTTTTTACCTAGGATTATAACTACTATCAGTTGTTTTATTTTTTTACTGCTGAATTGTTTATTATTTTTTATTACTGTTGTTTAAATAAATATTTGTAAAAGAGTATAAGTAGTATATGTGTCTGCGTAAGAGCGAACAAGCAATATTCCTACCCAAAACCTATTATTAATACTATTCTATTACCCAGCTCGCTTCTATATTTTATAATAGTATTATGATTGGCTTTGTTCCGTTGTTGTATTGTGAAAACTTGAAAATTGTTTCAAACGTAATATTAAGAGCAGTTTTTATCAAAAACTTTTGACGACTCGAGTTCGCAAGAGTAACATAATTTTGTTATGATAATAATTTATTCATTTCGCAAGCAGAAGAATATTTGATTACATATTTATAAACGTCGTGTTTATAATCGAGGTATAATAATTAACGTATTAATTAATAATTCACTATAATATGATTTTCCCTGAGACCAAAATACTTATTTAATCAGTAAATGAAGTGCTAAAAGAGTTCTAGAACCAACTCATACACAGGTGTTTCTTAGTAAATACACAATTTATAATTCTTTGTTACTATGACACATTATTAATTAAGTTTTTATTTTTATTTAGATCATATAATTATAGTAGTTTTTTCATTATTATTAATTAATCTTCAATTTTAATCACTTATCTCGTTTGATATAGGTATAATGCACATAATAATATAATTAGCAAATTATTTTCCAAATTAATACAATAATAATAATAATAATAGTAAAATTACCTTTCAATATTTTTATTATACAATATTTCTGGATGGTTTTTTTTTTTTATCTAACTCCTATTATTCGCATGATCGATTCAGGTCTATCATTGACGTTGTGTCGTTTTTCAACTGTTTATTTACCCATAAAATATATATTCATCAAGCTTCAAAAACATTTCTGTCGTTGACTTTATTATAAACGACCGCACAATAATAATATGACTGATAAAACATAAGCACATATCGCTTTATCGCTTTAAACAATGACACATGGCCACGAATGAAATGGCTTAAATACATTCGGATATATGTCCTTTGAATATATAAATTGTTTTATACACATTTTTACTGATCATTGTAGAAGTCTTGAATAACTAAATTTAAAAAAAAAATATATAAATTAAATTGAATTCATTATTAACATAATATTATCAAAACTTTTAAATAATTACTTTTGTACAATAATAATATCAACAAACACGTAATACGAAAGCGGTTTTAAATTGATATTTTTAAAATTTAACCATAGTTAAGGATGTTTAAGTACATTCCCAATATGTACACATAAACATTTACTGATATACGACTATTACATACATATACGTAGTAGTTATTCCGCTATATTAAGTGTAAGAATACTACTTGTAACCCTTATAAAGGATATTATCTTTACGTAAAATCAATAACAAAACTTAAACACACATGATATTACCTATGTAGGTACAAATGAGTTTGCTTCAGATGGTGTGCGTAATACAGAAACATAATATTGTTCACTATTATAATAGACCCTCTTGGGAATCTTACATATTACGGAACGTGAGTTTGACCCAACAACGCAAGTTGAGTTCAGACTAATATGCGAAACAATAACAATTTATAATGTTATATTGTTATATGTTTATTGAAATTATTTTATACGTTGTTTATTTTACATTTTTCGCGTTTGACGAGATTAGAAACGTCTATCAGTAAAATAATATAAACACGAAGAAACTGTAATAATATTTATGCGAGTTGCTGTCTGAGTAAAGAAAAAACGAAATACGAGTATAATAATAATATACAGCAATCCACCGTATCATTGTACCAGCTGATGCAAAAATAATACATCAAATCAATCATTTTGAATCGTATGATGTACTATATTTACGTTACCACCGACGATGTACGCGACCTCGATGTAGTCATTTAATATAGATTTGTTGGATTCGACAGAGACTCTTTAGAAATGCATTCTGACAATATTATAATTTATAAATGAAGCAGATGTCATTTGCCAGTAAGTACCGATAACGTGAATCTATCAAAATGACGTATTACCTAACCGTTTTAATAACAATTCAATTGACCAATCAACAACCTTACCATCACACGAGCCTGTATTATTTGAACCTCGTACAGATACTTTATTATATGTTATATTAATATATTTATAGGTAGATCTGTTTAAATATAGTAATTATAATTAGAATAGTACTGAAATATATCCGACCACATTACTATTATTATTTTGATATATCATAACAATATATTAGTAATATAAATAATTAATTGGTATTACTGCAGCAATAATTGATAATCAAACTTTAATAATAGATAGAGACCATTAGCGTCCATATTACAATATTTCGAAGGTTTTACTATTACAGTAGTTAGAATTTACAATAATACCATGATATAAATATGTAGAAGAAAACAAGTGTACGTATTTTTATCATTCACAATAAATTGTTTTATGAATTACAATAAGATATTTAATTTTTTTTTTTTTATTTGGCTTAAATATGGAATATCATAGTCAACAACAAAAAAAAAGTATAATAAAACGCCAATTATCCGGATTAACGGATTAATTATTGATAAGGATGGTCCAAATAAACAAATACTCAGATAATTTAAATATGCCACATTATAAATTATACGTTTATATGAATACATTTTATTTATTATTTATAATATAATTTGACATTTGTAATAACAGCCGAATTATTAATGTTATAAAAATTAAATACTTAAGAAAAAATTGACTTGGTATATTATACATTATTTATTACAAAGGTTTGAAATATGACGATATTTTAGTCTGCTTCATTGTTGACTTTCTCTTTAGAAAAACTAAATTCTTCAATATCCAAAATAGTGGCAATTGAGTGGTATTTGATTCGTCTTGGCTCTCAAAACACCAAATTCAATGCATCAAAAACTTCAGAAAGAGACGGTCCATATTATTTACTTTCAGTCATATCATATTCAGTTTCATTTTCCCATCCTTCATTATTCCTACATTCTTCAACTAAACTATGAACTATTTGATCATCTGAAAGCATGTTGTATCCCGGATCAGTTGTGTCCATAAGCCACCACTTATTTAAATTATCTTCATCGCAATCTCTTAATTCGTGGACTTGACGTATAGGTACACTCACGTATTTCAGTTATATTACATTTATATCCACGTTTTGAGAGTTTTCAACTCACTTTAGTAGCTTGTTCCATGACCTTTCCTAAGTGAAATTTTGTACACATTAGCATGCATCAGCTAGCATGTAACAACAGTCCTTCAATTTAATTTTTTTATGAAAGGGTAGAAATGTTTGATCATCTAAACTTAAACGACGCATTGATTCCTTTTCTTTTAATGTGTATCTAAACATTCTAAACCATTCCATGAACAAATCGGTATTCATCCATGAATTTTTTGTGGCTTTTACATTTTTAAAACAACGCGAGTTTTTACTTTTTAGATTTTCCAATCAAAAGTAACGGAATTTTGTAAGTACTGATAACATTTGCACACATCAAAACTGTTATACGGTTTTTGCTTATTTTATATCTTGGAGTTCTACTTCACGTCAAAACACCAAGGACTTTGATGATAAAGCTTTCCAGCTGAGGCCCGTTTTATTTGCATAGTAAACGAAAACCATGTCTCATTTGTTTTCTTATTCGATATAGGTATTTGGCGTTTTTAAAAACGATTATGCTGTCTCACTCAACTTGTTTCCAAAAATCTCTTTTTTTTTGAATTTTAAAAATTTTAAAAATTTTTTCGACCATCCAGTGATTGTGACAAATGATAAATCCTCTCCAAGTTTTTGTTAATTTAATACTTTTTCATACAATAAATGACCTGATAAAAGCTGTCCAGAAGCTTTTTTT